GAGAGAGAGAGAGAGAGAGAGAGAGAGAGAGAGAGAGAGAGAGAGAGAGAGAGAGAGAGAGAGAGAGAGAGAGAGTCATGATAAATGATTTAGACTAGCTTAGATTAGAGCAGGAGGTAGTATTGGTACGAGCAGAACAGTAGAAAATAGGGTGGTCTTGGCAAGAACGTTATAGAATAGCGGTAAAGATGATCCGGAAGAGAGAGAGAGAGAGAGAGAGAGAGAGAGAGAGAGAGAGAGAGAGAGAGCTGGGAGGACTGACAGGGCTAACTTCCAGCAACTCTTCGATCAGACAGCAATCAGAATGGGAAGGATATTGCGATGAACCAGTTTGTATCTGAATGGAAGACTCTTCTGAAGTAAGGCAGGTAAAGTACACAGAGTGTGATTGAGCTCATTGGAGAGTAGTGAGAATTGGCCTTCGCTCACCTTGACAGAGAAGATGGTATAGAAGAAGGGAAAATAATAATCCGTTTCTCCCGTCCGTAAGGATGAGAAGGAGAGTACTGCGTCGGCTTGGGCTACTATCTGTGTTGTTTAATGTTGATGTAACTTGTGAGGCTGTACATAGTTGCCTGGAACAGACTAGATGATTTATGGACCGAACAGAGGGAAGATCTTCCTGAGAGTGGGCAGTTAGATGCATAGCGTTGAGGTTTGCGCGTTGAAATTTTTTGGCTGCCCCTTGGTTGGAGAAGAGGTATGGGTTGCAGCATGTGTTTGTACTTCGATTTTTATCTATATGGGATGCCGAACCCGTTTCAAGCACGTGCTGCTCCCCACGAATAGATGGAGTTATGAATTGATTGTAAAAAAAAGAAAAAAGAAAAGGGAAAATTTTCGAAATGCCCCTGAAGTTTGCGTTTATTTGCGGCGTGCCCCTCTGGCGGCCGACTTACCTTGTCTTACCCCTCTGACATGAATGATGTTTCCAGAATACCCCTGGCGGCCTTTGGGCCTCAAAAATGTTTCATATGCCCCTACCGGTACGGGTACCAAATTTTCAGTATGCCCCTACTGGCTGCCCGTTGAGAGACAGCAGTAAAGTTTCCCATATGCCCTTACCCGAAATGAGCTCATTCAAGCAATCCACGCATCTCTCTCTCTCTCTCTCTCTCTCTCTCTCTCTCTCTCTCTCTCTCTCTCTCTCTCTCTCTCTCTCTCTCTCTCT